TCTGCATATATATGAAGCTATTTGCCAAAGGAAATTGCGAAAATTGAGATGGGTTTCATTGATTCAAGATGAAAGAATGGTAAACTGTGTAATTCTTTAATCAACAAAAATTATTTACAGTTGTTCCGGCATATTTAAACTCAAGTCAATCAATGTCAGTAGACTTTATTTATATTTTTATTACAACGCTTTTAGTTGCTCAAAGAATTTAAAATTATGAATTTGAACAGAGTAAACGAACTTAATTTATATTTACCATGTTTATTTTATCCCCATTTCAAATCGATCAACTTATTTATTTCCATTAATCTGAAATGACAGCTGACATATTGCTAGTGAATGATGACTGCAAATGATTACATATCCCCGAGTAAATCATTAAACGAATGCGATTTAATGCGATTTTTGCTTTAGATGTTAATGCTGAAAAAAATACCCCATCAAAATAAATATTGAAACATTTTAGCATTTATTTTCATCAAATATTTATGGTACTGGCATGGCTATTTTTTCTTTTTTTGCTTTTAATTCGTTGTGCAATAAGTAAACATTAAAACTGTGAAAATGTAATGCATGAATAAATGATTAAATAAATATTTATAGAATTTAAGCCGCGACTCAATGCAGTTGTTAATAATTTCAAATTATGCAAATTAAGGTGGCTGTAAAAAGAATAAAAGAAAGCGAGAAAAATAACAAAACCACCTACAATTGATTGTCGTTTGTGTAGTGAAAATTATGATTGGAGCACAAATGAAATAAATTGATTTGCAATTGATTATTGAAATGATTTGCTTTTATTTCGTGGTTATTTTGGTTTCTGGTTTTGCGGGTTTTAGTTTTTGTTATTTTAGTGGCTGCAAAAAATACCGCAAAATTATGTTTAGATATAATTTTATTTTTTTTTTTTGTTCTGGATGTAATTTAGAGAATGTAGTAAATATAATATTACACAAATTTTAATGAGAACATAATATATCAAATAATTAAAATGACTAATAAATGTGTTGCTAATACTTATATTTCCTTTAATTATTTTTAAAAAATAAAATGCAAATTACAATTATGGAAATCCTATACTTCTTGAATTGTATAACATTTATTATTTAAAACCAATTCACAATTTATAAGCTATATGTGGATTTTATGAGATATAAAGCCCTCGTGCTGATTTCCACATATTCGGTTTAATCTCGATTCTCGTTTTTATTGTCCTGCCGAGATTGTCAGATGTGCCCAAAAATTACCCAACCAATCGCGCTGAGGGCAACCCTTTTCCAAATGTTGGCATTCCGAACCGCACACACAACAAACTCCGGTTGGCCAACAATTTCACGTTTATATTTCGCCGGATATTTCCCTTTAGCCCTCGTCGACTGCATTCTGTGTTCTACATAAATATGAAATTTATTAGTGAATGTTGCATATCCTTTTGTGCGTGTCAGTTCCGGCTCGGATTGCATTTTCGTGCAGTCGTGGAAATTCAGGGGGAAAGTCGAGGAGGACACAAGAGGACCAGGACCAGGACCAGGATGAACCAAAGGACCAAAGTACCAGAGGACCAGAGGACCCGTCCCGGCAACAACATCATTATTGGACATTGCCCAAAAAAGCCATTTCTCCCTTTCGTTTTTTTTTTTTTTTTTTTGTATTATTTTGCACACACCCAGAGAGCTTTATTGCCATTTCGTTTGGACGGTGGTTTCTGCGATTTTAATTTGTTAAATGCACTTTTGTCCTCTTCATCTGGCATATCGAGCGGTGCACTTAAACCGAGAATGACAGTCAGGGGTCAAAGTTATTCAAGGGATCCAGTAATTGTTGGCTTAAATTGCAATAAATTTGAATTTAAACTTTATGGAAAATATTTTGGGTATTTTTTGTAAATTGAAAAACTTCTGCTATCAATTAAAATAATTTGATTAATTCTTTTTTATTTTTATCTGTTTGGGACCTCAGTTTTTTGGGAGTTTTCTATTTAATTTCACTCGTATTGCTACTATTTAATTTGGCTTTTCGGGTGCGCGATAGAAAGTTTTCCAGCTTCAGTTTGGAAAATTTATTCATTGCTCCCTGCAACTGGTTTAACTTTCTGGTTTGGCAACGCGGACAAAGCTCGACGGCGACATTTTATTGTTGTCCCCCTTGGACAGGGTTTTTCTCCCCAGGCAGCCCCCTTTTCTCCCGATATATCTCCTCCTTTTTTTTTAAGGGCAGAGCTTTTACGCTATTATTTGATTTTTATTCGGGTTCCGTTTGGCCCCTCGCCACACTTCATGAGTTATTGTCTCATGGACTGCGGCTTCAATGCGAACTAGGCCAGTGACTAAAAAGGGGGGCGGAAAATTGCGATGGAGGGGGGCTAACAGGAAAAGTCGGGGAGAGGTTTTTCCAGCCACACTGTCGCTGGCCTTTTTGGCAACTTTTTTCCGGTCTGGCGTCATTTTGTCATCTCACACTTGCGCTAGAGATGACAGAGCACCGATAGGTCATGTTAATATAAGATCAACAATTATTTTACAAACAACAAATTCACTAATAAATTGAAAAATGCTTCAATATTTTGACAAATGCATTACCAGATTTAAAAATAAATATAATTATATTTATTATTTATTTATTAATACTCAGGTTACAAGGCAATTGAAAATATAATTATAATTTTAATTTTAATTTATTATTCATGATCATTATTATATATTTAAATTAACGATATTACTACCTATTCCAGACTTTTGCTTCTTAAAAATGTAACACTAATTAATATTCTCAAATGTTAAATATCAAAATAATTATTTAATATAGATTGGATATTAATGAAAAGCCAAATTTATCGATAATTTATCAATGTTTTCCCATCTCTAGTTTGCTTCAATTTAAGGGCAATCATTTCAAAAACACGAAGAGAGATGCTTAAACTCAAAATCGGTGAGAGGAAATGTTTGACCACCTCTCGATGAGTGTTTTCTGGTAAGGATATGCTTGAGGCCAGTGCGTTTCCTTAATGCGACAATGTTTGGTCAATGTCAAATGCCTTCCCCATTTGTCTACCATTTTCTGCTGCTTTGTCTGTGTGACTTCCGTTTGCCGCAGCATGCGCCATCATCATATATCACACATAAATATATGTATTCATACATACATATAATATTATATGTATGGGCCATTCCCAAAGCGTTGTGGCACTGACAATTATGACACGTGGTTTAAGTTTTCGACTTTGGCTTGAGGCTCGGCTCCTCAAAGAAATCTTCATTAAAAGTCGCATTGAAGCAGCACAAATTCCGCAAATTTCACAATCAACTTAATCAAATGTTTTTGGCTTTTGCAATTGCCTGAATTCAAAGTGGAAAATTTTCAATTAAGCCAAAGGCCAAAAAGAAATCGTTTCTAAAAGTATTTGGCTGTGTTTACTTAGAGCTGCATACCACATATTTATTTTGGTTTTTTTTTTAATCACAAACAAAGTGGCAATTGTTTAAATGTTTGACACTTAAAAAAAAAGTAGAATATTAACCAGTATAAAAACTAGTTTTTTTCTATTATGTAAGAAATTTTTTTTTTCTGTTGGGATATAATGATGTTTAAAAAATTTTAGCATGTCAGAGAAAAATTAGAAGAGTACATTTTCCTTAATAGCATTAAAAATAATTTACCAATTGCCTGAGAGCTCAATGAGGTGGGAAATTCTTTGGGCATTCCCCTTCTGGCAAAAAAAAAAAACAAATAGAAAAGGAGGCAACTTTTATTTACATTCAGTCCCGGAGTGAAAATTCACTTTGGGCAACAAACGTTGGCTATTTGCACCCAAGGACTATAAACGTTGCATGTGTGGCTAAGATGCTTTTGCTTCACCTTTGACTACAGCAAAAATTCCGGCAATTTCGTGTGTGAATTACCCGAGGATTCTCATGCTCCTTTCTGTTTGGTCCTTGCCAGTTTTAGTTTCAGTTTCAGTTTCAGTTCCAGCAACAGCTACAGCTTCAGTTGTGTGCTTGATTATCAAGCACCAAAAGCTGTGTGTGTTTGTGTTTACGTAATTCAAGATGGCAGCAAACCGACAAGCTGAAGGGCAGGAAAATGTGTTGAAAATGGGAGAAGGAATGAGTGCGGAAGGAGTAGGGAAGGTGTGGGGAATGAGTTCGGAAGGGGTTCTTCCCCAGTTGTAGTAGTATATTGTAGTAGTGCCATGGAGCACAGTGCGAAGTACAAATGTAATGGCAAATTTTTGAAATTAGTATGCAACACGCATAGCAGTCGGGAGAAAGCTGGAGAGATGGAAAAGTGGAAAAGGACATGGGCATGGAAATGCGAATGGGAATGGGAATGCCCATGGAGTTTGGGAGCCGAGAGCTGGAAAAGCGGCTAAAGAGCTAGTTCAACGCCAACACACACAACCCCATTCCCTTACCGCCTTTTTTGGCCCCTTTTCTCTTAACTATTATTGCATTTGCTTCGTTGTGGAGAACATCAATAAGCGGCATATTTAAGCTGCTTGTTGGTTGGGTTTTAAGTAATTTTTATGGCAATTCTCTGCAATGCTATTTACCATTAAGTTTAATGTGGGTCCCACGAGGAGACGAAAAAGCAGGGGAGCATTATTAGTTTTAGTTGGTTAAATGCGGGGAATTCTCGGAAAGTATAATAGAATTCAAGCGAACTGTACATGCTTAAGCTGTAATGCAAATTGAGTTTGTTTTATTAAAGTCAATTGGTCTTGAAAAAGTGCAGTCACATTAGAATTAAAGTGCAGCCATACCAGCGTTGGTCACACTTAATAATGACTAATGCACTGCAAAACAAAGTATTTATAATAGAATTTAAACGATTTGTACAAATGGTACGCTACAAAAGTAATGCAAATTGAGTTTGAGCAGGATTGTGAGAAAAAGTGCAGTCTCATTAGAAACAAAGAGCAGTTATACTAAACTCAAAACCAGGCATAGCGATGCGCTGGTCACACTTAATGATGACAAATGCACTCCAACAGAGCAAAAAAGGGGCAGAAACTAATCGTCAAATTTGCCTTTTCTCTGTCAGTATTTTCTTTCCCTTTATTTGTTTCCTCTCCCCGAAACTCTAACACAATGCAACAACTTTCTGAACATTTTGCGTTGCTTAAGTTTTCCTTTCTTGCCAAAAAAGACAAAGAAAAAGAAGGGGTTAAAATGTTTCCAGGCCAGTATTTTGGAATTCTTTATCTGGCTCGAAACCATGGCACAATTCTTTACACTGCCCCGCGCTGTCCACCATTTTGCCGCTCACTTAGTTTCATTAAAACAACGTGGAAAAAGTTTTTCCTAAAAATGGGCTGAGCGAGGAGGAGGTCCTGCCAGGACACGAAAGGACAGGACAGGCAAGGCGCCATACAAATGAGGCAAAAGAAAACTGCTGTCGCATGGGCCCAGAACTCTTAAACTCGAAAAGAACTGAAACATTGGATCCCCACAGCCGCACTAACCCGATCCTAAGTACTCCCCATAGTTTACAACTATCCTTTCTTTTTTTTATTTGAGAAATTTCCCTCTTTTGTTTTCATCGTAGCTGCTTGGCTTCTTTTTGCCCTTTTTTTTGTATTTGGTATATTTTATATCAATTTTTAGTGTGCCTTTTTCTTGCGATTTTTTTTTTCTTTCCTATTTTTTGTTGAGCACAAGCACACTTTTATCCGCTTGGTCTTTGTCTGGAGTTGTGCAAGTTGTCGTCTAACTTATGGCATCTCATTTATCTTCGTAACTCGAGACGAGGCGACGGGCTAGGGAGCGAACCAGTTATTGCATTTTGTACGCTTTTTCTTCAATTTTGTTATATATATGTATGTATATACTCGTATATAGTCATATTTATTTTCCTGTATTTTGACTTATTTATGAGACACTCCGGCTCAATCGGTTGGACCATTGTAATCTCTTTCGTTCCGATGCAGGACACGTAGAAAGCGCTCAATATCCCCAGATTGGGCAGCATCCAAGGCTTCACGATGGTCATGGTTGTTGAGCACGGGTTGCAGTACCGATCTGGGAACTCCCGAGTGCAGGCCTAGTGAAAAGTAGGACAAGGTTTCGTAGAATTGTGGGGAACGCAGATGGTCGAGTATTATCTGGCTTTCACAATGGCAAGCATTTCCTTGCATATCCCATTCCTCCTCGTCAGGATCTCTGGGTAGTTGAGCCAAGAGTTTTTCCCGTCTCCTGGAGGACATAAGAAGATTTTGCACTGCTTCGGCGCCGTAAAAACGTAAAACTATTGCCAAATCTAATATCTCTGCATCGGGATCTTGAAATGCCAAGGGTGCAACTGCTTCTTCTTCGTCTGTCTGGGGCCAAGTTTCTGTCGTTCTGGCCAAACTGTTTTTCAGCATTTGACGCATTTCGTCGAGAACCTGCAGATTTTCACTGCCACCGAAACCACGCCGATGTCTGCCTCCTTGCTCCACATCCGTATCGACATCTCCTTCAGCCGCCGCACTTTCATCCCATTTCCTAGGACCACTGGCTATAAGTTCATTGAGCCGTTGACAAAACTCTACATCTTTGTCCATCTGGGGTTCTTGCATCCAGAAGAAATATCGCTGTGTGGATCGGGTGTATTTGAGGGCATACACTCGACCCGTTTTGCACTGATCAATGCGGCGGAACTCGAGGTCACCCGGCGTGGCCAGAATGTCCAACTCAATGGCCCCGGTTCTCCGGTCCATCCAATGGATGTGCACCTGGTTATCACCGGCGGATCGGCGCACAAAGAGCAGACCCTTGCGGTCATCGGGCTCGATCATCTTGCCCAGCAGGATCATGCGGCCGACCTTGTATTCGATCAAATTGGGGGCCTCTGAATCGGCCATATATGGTACTGGGAATTTTCAAGCAATAACCGGTGCTTTGGTGTCTAATTTAAGGTCTATGATGTCTATATTTAACTGCCTACTATAATTGAGATTCTACATTTTAGCTTTATAAACTTATTACTGGGTGTGCCACAGAAATCAGTTACAAAGGTGTCTAAAAGTAGACAGTGAAAAAAGAATATTGTCTTCCGGAATATATCCATGGAAATTCTGGTCTAAACATATTTTGAAGCAATCTTTTAGATATATTTTAAGTGATTACAAGGCCCTACTGATTTTTGTAACAATTTAATTAATATCTCAATTTTTTAATATGCATCTAAAATAAAAAATATATATTTTGTAGCATACTTGCAGGCATATTTTATGCAATTTTGAAGCCCTAGTTATTTTTCTACGTTTTTTTTCTTTTGAACGATGTTATAAATTTCTATGTATTATTATAAAAAGGATATATTTATTTAAATTCAGTGTTGTATTAAAATAAATATTTATTCAGCTTTTCTTGGAATACATAAACTATAATGCATGTAAGACGCACAAGGCTTGGCTTTCGTGTTGCAAAATAATAACTGCACATCGAAGGCAATAAAGTTAATGTTTAAGAAAAAATAAATATATATTTATATAGCTTTTAGAGGTGGTCACACACATCGCCCCATTTATGGGCTACTTCAGCGAGAGCCGTTCGGATGTCCAGCCTGGGCGGCAATTGACCTTTAATTGCACACTTAAAAGCACATAAAAACGTGGCCAGGATGCAAGAGGAAAGAAGTTCAAGGAGCAGACAGGAAAATCGCCGGTGGCCGGAGGTCCTGGGTCAACAGAGGCGTTAGCGAAGTAAGCTTAGTCGGGGGCAATTAAAATTAAAGCGATGACTTATATGGCTTAACGGGCAGCCAGTTAGGTAGTCACTCACTAGAGCTTCTGGCCCTGCAATTACATCGCATTTTAATGGCAACTAAATATGATACATTACTGCAAAATGACAGTCCTTAGAGCATATTCTTTCAATAATTTTCATTTTGGCTAACTAACATATTCTAAAATATTATATTTATATTTATTATTTATTTAGAAATAATTTAGGTACTTCAACTTATAAAATGTATCATAAGAATATTATAATTGCAAGGGTCTGTAGTATTTTGAATCTCTGAGTTGAAAAAATACATTCTTATTTTAAAATCAACTGAAATTCAAATTTATTTAATATATTATTCATTTAATCTTAGGGATTACTTTTGTTCGCCTACATGATATTAAAGAAAGTAAATTTAATTAACTGTCAATGTCAAAAATTTGACTAAACGGGTTACCAAAGTTCTATTATATTGTTCAAACTCAATTTTTTTCTTGTCTAATTCAATTTGGTTTGGACACATCCAAATCGATCCAAATCATCTTAGATGTATTTAAAATATTTTCGTTTATTTTAATTGGATTAGAGTCAATATGATTGGCATGATTTGTTTTCATTCAATTAAAGTTGATTCGATTGGATTTGTCTGGCTGTGTGATGCGATGTCATGTCTTCATGATGAATTATTCAAGCAGATTAGATTGAAAATGAAAGCATGATGTAGACACATCTTTTAGTTACCTTACACTTTACACTTTTCCCCAGAAAGACACACACACATACACACACACCTTGATTTCTTTTCAATGGACTACGGCACACAAATATATCTATATATCTATATATAAAAACGGGTATATATATTCGTTTTAATGACAGGACTCCTGCAGCTTTCGTCGCTTTCTGTTCGAAAGCAATTACAATTTAAGTATTTAATTAGGGAATTACGTGAGCAAACACCCGAGCCACCCACACACATGGCGAGGTCAAATACATGGAAAAGGCAAAATGGAAAAAAAAGAAAAGGAAACCGTGTATGAAATAAAATAAAAATAAAAGGAGCGTAACGAAGTTGCCCCAATTGTGGGTGGGGCTTACCCACCAGCCCACCTGCCCACCTGCCACGCCCCCCTATAAATGCCAATAAAAATGAAGCCAATTGCCAGTTGCCGCAGCAAAAAAAAAATAAAAAGAACAAGGAGCATTTGAGGCAACTACAAAACAATTTGTAGTTTACGCTTTACGCGTTCTCTACAGCTCGTCCGTAACGAGAGCACAAGCTGAGACCCCAAGACAAAATATACGAAAAAAAAAAAAAAAAGAAAAGGATAAGGAAAGTGCGGGGACCTGGAGAAAACTGGAGAAAAAAGTCAAGTCGACGGCAAAGGATAAGCGTGTCCTGGCATCCGACTGACTTAACGCACGTCGCCACTCGCAGACACCCGCAGCCAAGCAAATAGTAAATAAAATCAAGAATTATAAAGGCACAAAAAGGAAGGGGACACAAAAAAAATATGATGGAATATAGCAACTGTGATATACCGAACGGGTATATTGAAATTTATATTGCTTTATTATTCACTTACTTTCACTTAACTTATATTATTCAAGGGTGTCACATAAATCAAAAGGTTTCTAAAATCACTTATAACGGCGTCAAAAAGTAGGCAACAATATATTTCAAGAGAGGTAATGTCATTCGTATTACTACATAATTTCAAACACCGGTATATATAAACCAGCTTGAAATACAGTTTTGGGTCCCCATTCAGAAAGCCATTGGAAATACGGAAAAATCAAACATGAAAACGGGTAAAAATGTTGATCCTCTTAAAAAGGAAATGTTTGAACGTAGATTACTAGGAAATTTAACCACAAACTCATAGAGGTATCCCACATCAAAATCGGAGTCCAGTAACTCAAGTTAGAAAATCTTGAAGTGCACTTTCTGAAAACCATTAGAAATACGGAAAAATCGAACATGGAAATGTGCTAAAATTTGGACCCTCTTAAAAAAGAAATGTTTGAATGTGGAGTATTAGAAAATTGAACCACAAATTCATGAAGGTATCCCACGTCAAAATGGGGTAACAATTGCTAAAGTTATGGAATTTAGAAGTGCAGTTTTGGGTTCCCATTCTGAAAACCATTGGAAATACGGAAAAATCGAACATGGAAATGGGATAAAATTTTGACCCTCTTAAAAAAGAAATGTTTGAATGTAGAGTATTAGAAAATTGAACCACAAATTCATAGAGGTATCTCACGACAAAATCGGGTTACAATAGCGAAGTTATGGAATTTAGAAGTGCAGTTTTGGGTTCCCATTCTGAAAACCATTGGAAATACGGAAAAATCGAACATGAATATGTGTTAAAAATTTGTTAACAAAAGTTATTATTTATTGGGAATGATTTGATCTGAAAAAGCTCCCATTTCTGCAGTGCCGGCTCGATAAGGTTTCTTCTCTCTCTTTGATGGACGTTATTCACTTGTAGAGAAGATTCGTTGGACGTATGACTATAGCGAAGATCCTCCCTGGCATTGGGAGGACGGCCCTCTCCACCTTCTTTGCAAAATTAACTCCACAAGAATCGCCAGATGAACGAAGACTCTGTTGTCCTGAAGGAGCTTCTAGTAGTTGAAATGGAACTGGAGACTGGTGAACAGGTTCCCGCCAAGCCGCAGAACTGGAGCTCAACATCCTGAACCCCTTCCTCTTCGAAGTCCTCATTATCGATAAGTTTTTAAGCGCCTCTCGGACCTCCTCATCGCAAAATTTCCAACGACCGATCAGATCATTATCGACATAGGCCAGCAGGTCCTCTCTATCCTTGCTATAAGCATTGGCTACGTGGAATTCCCTTGAAAGGATTCCACTGAAAAATACAATTGTTTGTCGCCATACCGAAATGTAGGCAAGTTTCGTTATCTCAAATCTAAAACTGGCCCCATTTAAATGTTGTTTCACAATCATAAAGACTACATGTCTAAGTCTAGTCTCAAATCTAAAGTTTCAAATTTTCCCTTACACTTATAAGAAAAAATTGTAAAGATTCAAGACTGGACTTAGGCATATAGTCCTAATAAATGTGAATCAAAATTTTAATGTGGCCAACCTTAAATTTGAGTTAACAAAACGTGTCGAGTTTCGAATGCACTAAAAAGCAATTGTGTTTTTCGATGTGATCCTCTCGAAGAAATGCCACGTAGCCAAAGCTTTTAACAGTGATAGAAAGGACCTGCTGGCCTACGACGGTAAATATCTGATCTGACGCTCGAAATTTCACGACAAGAAAAAACTCCGCGAGATAACCGAAAACTTATGAAGAAATCTATTGAAATAGTTTATAAATATTTGTAAAAAGAAATTTAACAAAAATTTACCGAAAATACGGAGTTGTTCACTGGACGAGCTCGGGTGTTGTACTGAATGTAAAACCCTATGGCTAGACGAACAAGGCCTTGAAGTTTCGTAGTTTGCCTACTTTGTTTACAATTTCCATTACGAAACAAAAAATAATTTGTTGAAAAAAAATACAACGTTTTAAATGTTCTTTGTCTTAAAAAAACTTAAGAACTAAACTTAAAAAAAATAAAAATGCCACGGGGCACATATTGGATCTTAGTGTGCATGTAGGCCTTCTATGAAATGTCGAGTAAAAATTTAGCTATTACGATTTGCTCTGTGCTCTGATACCTTTAAATGTTCCTGACTTCAAGAACCCACTGATTTCTATGACACAAAATACCAAAACAGTGTATCATCGGATAATATTTTTAAATTATTTAAAAAGCTAGTTAATTTAAATACTATATTGCCCTTAGTGATAATATTTAGCTGATCTTGCAAGAGGTAAAAGATCAAAGAAATTCGTCATGTGCACCATGACGTATACGTTATGACCTTTACTGGCCATTAAAAACCAGTAAAGCACAAAAATTACAAGCGTTGTGTTGACAAATGCCTTAAGTTCAGTTACCAATCCATCCACAACACCACCCCTCGATTTTTCCCAGCACTTCTTGGACCGTCTTAAAAAAGAAATGTTTGAATGCAGAATATTAGAAAATTGAACCACAAATTCATAGAGGTATCCCACTTAAAAATCGGGTTACAATAGCGAAAGTTATGGAATTTGGAAGTGCAGTTTTGGGTTCCCATTTTAAACACCATTGGAAATACGAAAAAATCGAATATGAAAAAGGTCTAAAATTGGGACCCTTTTTGAAAAGAAATGTTTGAATGCAGAATATTAGAAAATTGATCCAAAAATTCATAGAGGTATCCCACGTCAAAATCGGGTTACAATAGCGAAATTTATGGAATTTAGAAGTGCAGTTTTGGGTCCTCATTCTGAAAACCATTGGAAATACGGAAAAATCGAACATGGAAATGGGATAAAATTTTGACCCTCTTAAAAAAGAAATGTTTGAATGTAGAGTATTAGAAAATTGAACCACAAATTCATAGAGGTATCCCACGTCAAAATGGGGTAACAATTGCGAAAGTTATGGAATTTAGAAGTGCAGTTTTGGGTTCCCATTCTGAAAACCATTGGAAATACGGAAAAATCGAACATGGAAAAGGGCAACAATTTTGACACTCTTATAAAAGAAATGTTTGAATGTAGATTATTAAAAAATTGAATCACAAATTCATAGAGGTATCCCACGTCAAAATCGGGTTACGTTAGCGAAAGTTATGGAATTTAGAAGTGCAGTTTTGGGTTCCCATTCTGAAAACCATTGGAAGTACGGAAAAATCAAACATGAAAATGTGTTAAAAATTTGGTAACGAAATTTGTTGTTATTTATTGGGAATAATTTGATCTGAAAAAGCTCCCATTTCTGCAGTGCCGGCGCGATAAGGCTTCTTCTCTCTCTTTGATGGACGTTATTCACTTGTAGAGAAGATTCGTTGGACGTATGACTATAGCGAAGATCCTCCCTGGCATTGGGAGGACGGCCCTCTCCACCTTCTTTGCAAAATTAACTCCACAAGAATCGCCAGATGAACGAAGACTCTGTTGTCCTGAAGGAGCTTCTAGTAGTTGAAATGGAACTGGAGACTGGTGAACAGGTTCCCGCCAAGCCGCAGAACTGGAGCTCAACATCCTGAACCCCTTCCTCTTCGAAGTCCTCATTATCGATAAGTTTTTAAGCGCCTCTCGGACCTCCTCATCGCAAAATTTCCAACGACCGATCAGATCATTATCGACATAGGCCAGCAGGTCCTCTCTATCCTTGCTATAAGCATTGGCTACGTGGAATTCCCTTGAAAGGTTTCCACTGAAAAATACAATTGTTTGTCGGCATACCGAAATGTCGGCAAGCTTCGTTATCTCAAATCTAAAACTGGCCCCATTTAAATGTTGTTTCACAATCATAAAGACTACATGTCTAAGTCTAGTCTCAAATCTAAAGTTTCAAATTTTCCCTTACACTTATAAGAAAAAATTGTAAAGATTCAAGACTGGACTTAGGCATATAGTCCTAATAAACGTGAATCAAAATTTTAATGTGGCCAACCTTAAATTTGAGTTAACAAAACGAATGCACTAAAAAGCAATTGTGTTTTTCGATGTGATCCTCTCGAAGAAATGCCACGTAGCCAAAGCTTTTAACAGTGATAGAAAGGACCTGCTGGCCTACGACGGTAAATATCTGATCTGACGCTCGAAATTTCACGACAAGAAAAAACTCCGCGAGATAACCGAAAACTTATGAAGAAATCTATTGAAATAGTTTATAAATATTTGTAAAAAGAAATTTAACAAAAATTTACCGAAAATACGGAGTTGTTCACTGGACGAGCTCGGGTGTTGTACTGAATGTAAAACCCTATGGCTAGACGAACAAGGTCTTGAAGTTTCGTAGTTTGCCTACTTCGTTTACAATTTCCATTACGAAACGGAAAATATTGTTGTCTTTGTCTTAAAAAACTTAAGAACCAAAAAAAAAAATGGGACACTTGGGATATATTAGGCCTTCTATGAAATGTCGAGTAAAAATTTAGCTCTTACGGTTTGCCCTGTGCAAAAATGAAATGACTTCAAGAACCCACTGATTTCTTTGACACAAAATACCAAAATACCATCATATGATCATATTTGTAAATTAAAAAGCTAGTTAAATTGAATAGTATATAGCTTTAATGATAATATTTGGCTGATCTTGCAAAAGGTAAAAGATCAAAGAAATTCGCAATGTGCACCATGGCGTATACGTCATGCCCCTTTGCTGGCCATAAAAAAACCAGTAAAGCACAAAAATTACAAGCGTTGTGTTGACAAATGCCTTAACTTCAGTTACCAATCCATCCACAACACCACCCCTCGATTTTTCCCAGCACTTCTTGGAAATTTTCCTTTATTTACGGTTTCATTTTCTTTTTTTTTGAAATCGTTTCGGCTTTTCTTTGCCTTCAATTTCTGTTTCTTTTTCCCCCTTATTCTTTTTTTCTTTTCGCGGGTATCAATAAATAGACGTCGACCAAAGGTTACACAAAAAATAATAATAAAGGGGTGGGGCAGTTGGGCGGCATCAGGTAAACAAGTGTATGTATGTTATGTAGAGATGTGCCATAAATGGTACATATATACATATATAAGGTATGTACTGTATATGGATGTGTGGGCGACAGTTGTAAATGAAATTATCGCCTTTTTGACTTTCAACCATCAGCGTGGGGAAATATATTTCTCGCTTTTCGCCCCAATTTATGCTCCGCAAATATGTGCGATTTTGTGTTTTTTCGTCAGTATTTGCCCTGCATTAACAAAGTGTTGGCCGTAAATATTATGTGGCATGAAATAATCATTTCGCAGTATCTCAAAAAGTCGCAATTTAAGGTTTGTAATTTAAAAATCGTAATGAAAAAATTATTAGCACATATGCATTTAAATTGGTTAATAAACGAAGTGCTTGGGTTAGACATAATAAATCTGGAGATGTCCTTAGAATTAATTAAGCAAAAAAAAACCCTTGATATTTAATTAATATTTAAGTTTGATCAAGTTCATAGAGCTGTTAAACTGAATAGCTCAAGAGTAAAGACGACAACAAAAGAACATTCCTATAATTTAATTAACATTTGCAACTGACTTAGTTCCTAACGTTGAATTTGAATCAAGGGAAATATTTTGCTAGGTATTTCAGTTGCTGCCAATGCAGTACAACAATTAGTTAGTTGCCACAAAGGTGGGTGGAAGCATTTCAAGTCCTTTCCAGAAACTATGAATTATTGACTTGTCTTAATTGAACGGTTTCATTGCATATCGGGCTAATGAAGATGAATATGAAATGAGTTAATTAATTGAAATTTGTCAAGCCCACGGAAGGTGGTTCAATGAACCTAAGCCCCTCTTCAAAAAAAAACTCCCCTTTCTCTTCGAAGGGGTGCCATTTTGGTTTACCTTCGTTTATTATTATTATTATTTTTTTCGTGTCCTTCTCCAGTTGCGTCATTAATTCAGAAGCATGAACTTCATTTGGTGTTTCCCTTTCTTTTTTTGTAATTTTCCATGTTTAGTTTGTATAAGGATGTGGATGTGTAAGTGTGTGTGTTTAGTGTCAGCCAGGCCAATTAAACGAGTGAAACGAGGAGTCAACTTGAAATTAACACACACTCGCACACACGCACGCAAGTTTATGAATCTCAAAAATGCGCCTCGTTGCCCTAAACTAATTTCACTCACACTCAGGCGTACACACGAACACGCTTACGCACACACCCACAGTCACGCACACAGACACGCCACAGGAGTTAGTCCTTTCTGTTGTTCCTGTTGCTTGTTTTCTGACAAAAGGAGCCAACGATAAACACACAAGCGATGGCGAAAATCCTATCTCCCTAAATCAAGTCGAATTCTTCAGATACCCTTCAACATATCGATTATATAGTAGAAAACACCATTAAATCTTCTTTTTTAGGTGCCTAGAAGTATGCAACGTATATTTAAAACCTAGAAATGCAACGAATTCATTCAGAAAGTAGAGTAACTCTTTTTTACTGCATACTTCTAGACACCTAAAATGGCATTTAGAAGTAATTTCAAAACCCTAGTGATCTATGTGTTTTTTTAATTTTTTAATCTCTTAAGGACTAAGAGAATATATAATAATCATAAGTTTAGCAATCTACCTTTTTTACCTTCACTAAAATTTAAATTGTATTTTTTATTTAAGTATATTATTTAATTTCAAATTAGTTGTATTTCCTTCTGTCCTACATTTAAGTTTTTACTTTAATTTTTAAGTGCTTTGAACTTCAAGTTAGATGAGCATTACTCTTCAAAAGATTGTATCTGCTGATTATCTGCAAAATGTCCTCAACGCATCATCCGATCATTTGTTATTTTTTCTGCACCATCATTGCCCAGAAAACTAACGAACCCCATACCTTTCGTGACCAGGAAATCCTAGAATCCTGTCAAATTGAAAGTGTATCTCGATGCTTTTTCAGTTTATCCTGCAACCCATGAGCAAACAAAAAATAACAAAAAAA